GAGATGGCCAAGCTGAAATCCCTTCTCCTCCATTCTCTTCTTGTGATCTTGGGCACACATGCACACACACCTGGCATGAGTTTCAAGCTGCCAAGTCTAGAACGCAAACTGTGGTCAACTACGTGGGAGTCCAACAACTTAATCAATGTGCCATTTGCTGATCTTGAGTTGGGGGATCTTATGGGAAAAGAGCCCATGATGGGTCTGGGGGGGGTCACAAATGGAAGAATTTATGGGGTGCAGGAAATAAATGGCAGGCTGTGCTTTTGAAAAGACTAATAAATAAAGCTGTTCAGCACTTACTCCCACCCTCCAGCCTACTATTTCCTCCACTCCTCCCATTCTGGTCCCACATTCTATTTTTGACATCTTTAGGGCACATGTACTACAGCCAGCACTTTCCTTTTCTTTCATGATGGAGAATCCACTTTGTCCATGTAAGTGACTAATAGCTTAAAAATAGAACAATATATGATATGTAGATATATGCTACAATAATAGAAGGGTCCTGCATGAGAGGACACATACACTCATATTCATGTTGGTTAATGGTCTTAGAAGACTTCCCTGGTGGGGGTGGGGGTGGTGGCAGCAGGTGGTGTGGTAGCTGAGCCACTGGAAAATGGAGGAGAAAGGATTGTGGCATGGCCATCCCCGTGAGGGGTGATTTCTCACTTTTCCTCTTTCTGTCTCTCTCCAGTGAGCACATGTGCTCTATGGAAAAAAAAAAAAAAAAAAAAAAAAACAAAAAAAAAGCAACAACAACAACAACAAAAAGACTGCTCTGGAAGACTTAAAAGAGGATAGCAGCTCCTTCACTGTTTTTCTCTAGACAGAGGCCCTCCAAATCTGACTTTTTAATCCCTGATTGAATTCCCAGCAATCTACTTTTCCTGACTATAACCAGAAAAGCATGTTTAAATGAACATGAAATTCCATCAGTATAAAGCCTTGAGCAGCCCAGTCCACCAGCCCAGTTGCCAAAGCCGCTAATAATGCCCTATTGTGTTACTGTGGTATTCTAGGTTATCATTATATAAGTCTTTGCTCCTGGTTGAGAAAACATGACATTCCATTAAATGTATAATCTGGGTTTCTTCCAGGCCAGAGAAGCATCCTGCTTAAGCTGAAATGAGCTGAGATTTAATGCCATGGAAAAGAGAACTAGTCATGGGGTGGAAAAGAGAGTTGAAGGGGTAGGAGAAGAATAGTGGTTCAGGCCCCTGGGATCTGTTGGTTTCAGCTTGTAGACTGTGTCTTGCCAGTCAGAGGATCTCAGAAGCTCAAGGAAAAAGACAAGTCAGCATTCTTTCTCTTTCCACTTTGCTGTGGTTGGTGCTGGACAGCACTATCTGAGGAGGTTCTTTCTAGGACAGAAGACCGTGTCTTCTGGGACCACCCAGGGACCCATTTGCTGTCACTGCCTTTTGCCCCATCCTCCAGCTCTGCACTCAACAATCACATAAATTAACCTGGATTGAGATAGCAAGCTGGTGATATGTGTACCATGATACCAAGTTATAGCAAGCTTGTTTGTTTGTTTGTTTGTTTTCCCTCCAGCACAAAAATATCCTTCTCTTCAAGCAGTAGGACAACTAAAGTCGAGGGCACCCACCTCATTGTAAAGGTATGTGCCTATAGATGGCTCTCTGTCATTTTTTTCCTGGAGAATTCTGGGTCCCAAATGTGCTTCTAAGATCCTACAGTGTAGTTTAAGATTTACTTGAGGATTAAATACAGAAGAAGGAGCATCCTTCAGTATAGCGAGGGTCTTGGAACTTGGTATGCTGGTTAACTGCACTTACCATGATTTTATTATAAACTCAGAATAACTTATTTTTGTTGAATGTAAAAGTAATAAAGTTCATTATAGAAAATTTTGAAATTCAGATGAGTATAGAGCTAGAACTTTGAAATCCTATCTTCTAGAGATAAATATTATTACCATATTGGGTAAATACTTTTTTGGTCATTTCATTTTAAATTTTCAATCTTCCTGGAATTTATTTTGGCATGTGGTGTAAAGAATAAATCTAACATATTTCTTTGCCCATGTTATCAACTATTTGTCTAGTAACCATTTCTTTACATATGTATGTTTTTTTTACATAGGTAGAATCATAATGCAAACCATATTTGATAATTATAAAAAGTGGATTACGAGCATTACATATTTCTCTTAAATAGCTTATAAACATGCTCCATAGTCAATACACACTCAATATTATGCATAGGTCATGCCTTACCAAATAAACTCCCTATTATTGGGTTTAGGTAATTTTTAGCTTATTATTATTTAAAAAACCAGCACTGCCATGAACATATGTGAAGGGAATTCTTTGTGACTATTTGGGCTTTTTTTCTTTAGGACATAAAATTGCTACATGGAAAGGCTTACCTCTTATTTTTTAAAGCATTTGATATATGTTGCCCAGTTATTTTCTTGTCTATACCAGTTAACACAGTAGCAACATATGGGTATTTAAATTTAAATTAGTTAAATGAAATTTAAGTTCATTTTCTTAATTATACCAGCCACATCTCAAGCACTCAATAGTCATATATGGCTAGTGCTACTGTGCGGGACAACACAGTTATAGAACACCTCCACCATTCTAGAAAGTTCTACTGGACAGTTCAAGATTAGAAAGTCTGTACCAATGAATATTTTCCCTTGTAAGATATAATAGTTTCTATTTCCCACAAGTTGTCTAATACTAATGACTGTAATTCTATAAAACTCTGCTAATCTAATACAATTTATCTTGTTTGATTTTTCCCATTTCTTTGATTAGTGAAGTTGAACTTTTTTATTCATTTATTGAACAAATATAATTTTCTCTAGTGAATTATGCACTAACGCTATTTTTTATTGTGATATTTTTTTTTACTGCATTTTCCATATTAAGATCAAGCTTTAGAGAGTGACCGATGTTGCTTGCCCATGTTTTTGTAACTTGTTTTTACATTTTATGTATGGCATTTTTCACTTAGCAAAGTGTAACATTTCAATATGTCAAAAGTTTCCTGTGTTTTTCTTTATGGTTTTTGCCTTATTGTCTTATTTTAAAAGTTCTAAACTTAAAATTACAGAAATATTTATCCAAATGATCTTTAGTCTTTGATCATTTCATTTTAAACATTTACATTTCAGTCCTACTGGAATTTATTTCAGTATACGGTGAAAAGTATAAATCTAACTTTTTTCTTTGCCAATAGTATCGATCATTTGTCCAAAAGCCATTTTTAAAAATAATGAATCCACTGCCTACTGATTTAAAATGCTACTTAATGCTTACATAACTCAGAACTATGTCTAGATTTTTCTATTCTGTCCACTATTCTTTAACCTTTGCCGCCCTGTTTCATCAATTTGCTTTATAATACATTTCAATGTTTGAAGAGAAAATATTTCTTCATTCTTATTTTCCAAATATGTGTTAGCTCTTTTTACCGGTTTATTCTCTAAGGTAACCCTAGAATCATTTTGTTAAACTTCTCCCAACTCCAAAATAAATGCTTTCAGAAATTTGACTGAAAAATTTAATTCAATCTATATAATATTTTTTTGGAGAACCTATCTCTACAGTACTGAGTCATTCCATTCAGGGATATGGTGTTTCTGTCCGTTTTTTTCAAGGTTTCCTGTATATCCTTCTGAAGTGGTTTAAAAAAAAAAAAAAACCCACGGATGCTGGGCATCTCTGACCGTTTTCAGCCATGATTTCTGAGTCTGTGAGTTAGTTGCTCTCAGCCACTAGAAGTAACAAAAGAAATTCCGTTTCTTAGCATGGGAGTATATTTTCAGTATGCACCTTCTCATAAATCTGCAAGAAAGGGAGCTCACTTTTCATCCAAAGAATTTGGAGTTCAAAACAGTCTTTATGGAAAAATCAAACTCCAGGGGCAACTGCAAAGCCCATTTGGTGTCTAGCTGGCCAGCTTATTTTGCAGGACTCTTTTTCCAACTCCCAAATACTTTCCAGTCTGTGAAATTCATCTCCCAACCACTGTAACAGCAAGCGCCTCTCCTGGCACTGCAGAGCTCCCAGTTTTAATGAGCACAGATCTCCTATGAGGGGCTTTGTTATTACCGAAGCTGGGTTTTAGCAGATAGCATGAAGCTTCCTTGAATGACTGCAGCTTGGCAGACCCATGGGGACTTGGGAAGTGTTTAATTGGTCACAGTTCAGCTATCCCCTGGACAAAATCTTCAAGCCTAACCACTATCAGTCAAAGCAAAGAAACCAGGACTCCTGCACCTCCTTGGTAGCCCACCAGTCAAATGGCCAAGAACTTGAATTCGCCTGTATCTGGCTTCCTCCATCAGGAGAGGGAATTTGCTCTCTGCCACATGTGGCAATGTCTGGAGACATTTTTGGCTGTCACCACTCGCAGGGCAAGAGGGGGGATGTTACCGGCATCTAGTGGATAGAGGCCAGGGATGCTGCTACAAGGCAGAGAACAGTCTCCACAACAAAGAGCGACCAAGCTGAAATCCGGGGTGCCCAGACTGAGAAAGCCGCCTTAGTCCTATTTTCAGGAACTGCTCAGCCCGAAAACGCATTCTATTTTGAGGAACAAAGGTAACACACTATGTGGGATTGTGCTGTTCAAAAACACAGATGACCGACCTCTTTAGAAGGGTCTGCAAGCTCTGCCTCTGGTAAGCAACCTTTTCTCACGCAAACGGGAAGGATTCGCAGAAGCGTAGTCAACAGCATCCTCAAAATCCCTTGCTCGCCTTTCAGTTACAAGAGAGCACGCCAGAAAGAAGTTTGTCACCCAAACAAGCAGCGTTGCCTTCCCTGCGCGCTCGGGCGGCGGAGAAGGATGGGAGGAGCGCTTCCCAACAAAGGGGCTGGCTCTGCTGCCACCTTCCGCGGTCCCTCTGGGTCCCCGAGATGGTGCTGTCCCAAAGCGACCCTGCCAGCAGCCCAGCCCGGGGTGAAAGCATCATCGCCAGCACAGGCTGGCATGAGACAGCCCGGAGCACTTACTTGTCCAAGATGAAGTACAGGTCAAATCCCCCGTAGCAGGCTGGACCCCCATCCTCTCTGCGTCCGCCTTGCCCGGAGCAGAGGAGCACGAGAGTGGCCAAAGAGAGGCACTTGAAGCCAATGCCGAGGGCTTTGTGCTCCACGGTGGCCATGACCCCGCTGCCCAGGGAGAAGGTCCGGTCCTCTCCTGCCCACGGTCCGCGAACACACCACGACCCTCAGGGACGCGCCATCCGAGGGCCCCTGTTCTCGGGCCCTTTATTCCCCCTCGTTCCCTCGCAACTCCCCGGAAGCAATTGTCTGGAGGAGTTCAAGGTTTTCCTTCTGGTTTCCGCTTCGATTCGGTTTCAGGGTTTCAGGTTTCAAGAATCCCAATACTGTACTCCGCTTCTTTAAAGGGGCTTCTGGGGCCTCGAGCCGCCGGGCCGCTCCCGAGGCTGCGCGGAGGACTTGCAATTGGAGCAGTTCCGTCCTGACGGCTCTTTGTCCCAGATTTTAAATATTATGGGGTGGGTTTTCAAATTGTTCTTGGTTAAGAGAATGCTGTGCCCAGTCTCCCTCCTCTCTACCCCCACTTATTTTTTGGGAGAAAAAAAGTTCAAAGGGTGCCACCTTGTGGCCCACGACGGAGAAAGCACGTTTCGGTGTCCTGGAGAGTGTGGTTGGGCAGGGGAACTTCAGGCTCTGGGTTTAAACCACCCTTTTAAAAAGTAAGTTGTGCGTGCTTTTTATTCCTGTCTTTTACTCACGTACCTTCCTTTCCATGGCCACTTCATCCTCTCTAGCCTATTTTTTTTTTAGAGAGAGATTTATTTATTTATTTATTTATTTATTTATTTTGCCATGGGGCGCCTGCGCTTGCCAGTGACTCAGCGAGATATAGAGACAGAAAACGAGAAATCATCCTGAGGGCCATGGTGGCCACGCCGCAATCCCTTCTCCTCCATTCTCTCTGGATCTTGGGCATGCATGCACAAGGACCTGCATGAGTTTTAAGCGGATGGGTCCGGACTCAAACTGCGGTGGACTCCAGCAACCGATGGTCCAGCAACCGAACCATTTCGCCATCTGCTGGTCCCCTCTCTAGTCTTTTTAATCCCCTCTTCCTTTCCTAGCCTAAATCTGCTGGTAGGGTTACTGTAAACATTTGGAGTGAACTTATTTCTCAGGCAGAGACATTTCTAAATAAGCCATTGTGCAAATTAAGTAGGACAGAAAAAAAAAAAAAAAAGAAAGAAAAAGAAAACGGGGCCTTTGTTATCTGAATCATCCAAGTGACCCGACATAGTCTTGGTGCATGCGTAAAGGAGATTGCCAGGGTCCAATCTGAAAAGAGCACAGTCTCACAGAGCATGGTACTCAAGGCTACTCCAAGCGTGGAAGAGCTGAGCTGTCCAGTTATCCAACATTTCCATATTGTGGGGATTCTGTGGTAACAGTTCTTCTTTTAAGCTTGTGAACTTTGGCTTTTTCTCTCTAACTTTGATTTAGGACAGAGGAAGAAAACAACTTACAAGATCATAGATGGCTCAAGCAGTTTGGTGCTGATAGGACGTTCCTGAGGTAGCTTTTCCAAACTGGAGATTTTTAGAATGGCTCTGAGCCCCCAGGTCAGACAGAATCCCTGGCCTAGCTTCCCATGTTGGCCACTTTGGGAGTCCTCAGTACACACTCATGCTCCATTTTCCAAGATTCTTCTCCAATATTTGTAAGCCTCCAAGACCCCTACACCCCAGTGTAACCTTCCCTGGTGGGTTTCTCCCTAGGTCCTAGGTCTTGGGGTCCTCCATTAAACAATAATTGTGTTATCCAGTAAGTCTTGAAGATTGTATTGCACTAGCCACCTCCAGAATGATCCCCAGTGTTCCTAACCTCTTGGTATTAACCTCTCATATTGAATAAGACTGACTTGTAAGTAATTAAGATATTGCATGTTAATGGTGTGTGACTTCTGAAGCTGGGCCATAAGAGATATTATGGTTTCTCCACATGGATGACGTACTCTGGGGTAGCCCATTGCCATGACATGAGAACACTCAAGCAGCTCTGTGAAAGAATCCATGTGGTAGGAAACTGAGATTCCCTGTTGATAATATAATTTACCTCAAGACAGGTAACATCGTTTGCCACTCATATGAGTGACCCATCTTTGAAATAGTTCATTTAACTCCTGTTAAACTTGAGAGGGTTACAGCCCGGGCCAGCAATTTTTCTCTTTTCTTTCTTATTTCTTTCTCTTCCTTTTTGTTTTTTGTTTTTTTTTGTTTGTTTGTTTGTTTCTTTATTCCATGAGAAAGCGAGATGAGAGAAAGAGAAAGAGAAATCTCCAACAAGGTCTTTACACCATGATCTACTCCCAGCCCGTCAGCCAGAATCATGGGCACACATGTGCCCTGCTTGCACAGGGAGAGCTGGGACATGAACTGTGGCTTTCCCATATGGATTTAGCATCATGGAGTGTTAATATTACCATTTCACTACTGGGACTGGCTCCTACCTGACATTTTATCTGCAGCCTCATGAGCGATACCAAACCAGAACCACTCAGCTATGCCATTCCCTGACTCCTGACCCACAGAAAAAAAAATTAAAATATAAATTTTATGTTTTATCATTCCCTCTGTCAAGTTCAAGACACTTTTGTAAGTGAAGATATCAGTCATTTAACCCATCCCTGGAGAAATGAGGGTTGCAGAAATTTAACAATATCAATGCGGTCTTTTTACATTATTAACTGAAGATTTGAAGGTTTTTAGAGATATTAGTAGACAAAAAGGAGTCAGAAGGAATCAAATCAGGACTGCTCAATGGCGGCCTGATGATTTCCCTTTGAAACTCTCATAGAATTGCCCTGTTTGATGAGAGGAGTCAGCAGGAGCATTGTCATTATGAAGGACTTTCTGGTAAAACTTTCCTGAACATTTTTCTGCTAAAGCATCAGGTAACTTTCTGAAAGCACTCTCATGATAAACAGATGTTATTGTTTTTTGGCCCTCCATAAAGGTAACAAGTAAAATGCCACAATCAAGAATCTGTGGCCATGACCTTTGCTTTTGACCAGAACACTCAGATAATAAGCAGATGTTATCATTATTTGACCCTCCAGAAAGGCAACAAACAAAATGTCCCCCAAGAAACTGTGGCCATAACTTTAGCTCTCGATCTGTCCTCTTTTGCTTTAACTGGACCATTTCCTCCTCTTGATAGCCATTACTTTGATCATGCCTTGTCTTCAGGATAGTATTGGTAAAGCCAAATGTTGGAATTCTTCCAAGAGATGCTTCAGGATCTTCATCAGATTTGTTCAGGATCTTCCATTAAAAGCTCCGCTCTTGTTTGCAGCTGATCTGGGTACAATAGTTTTGGCATTTAGTGAGCAGAGAGTTTGCTCAATTTTAATTTTTAGGCAGAATAATGCAAGTTTAATCAATTGAGTTGACTGTTGTGTCTGCTGTTAATGACCAATCCTCTTCAGTTAAGGCACAAACAAGATTGAGTGTTTTCCCTCTGCAAATTGATGGTGATGGTCTGTTGTTAATGGTGTCATCTGCAACATTGTTTCATCCCTTCTTAAAATGAATTATCTATTTGTAAACTGCTGATTTATTTGGGGGATTGTCCTCATAAACTTTTGGTAAAGCATTAATTAATGATTTCACCATTCTTCCACCCAAGATTTGCCATAAATTTGAGATTTGTTTTTGCTTTAATTTTAGCAGAATTCATAGTTCTCTAAAAGAGATTCTTTTCCTCTTTTTCTTCTTCCTCTTCTTCTTCTTCTTCTTTTAATTCTTAATTTGCTTGAGGGTGTGTGCACTCACAGACAAAGAGGAAAAAGAGAAAGTGAGGAAGCATGATGGCCATGTTGCAATCCCTTCTCCATTTTTCATTTCAGGATTTGTGGGCATGCACATACACATGCCCAGTGTGTTTTTCAAGCTGCTGGATCTGCAACTAGAACCATGCAGTGAGTTATGTGGAATCCAGCTGTCTTAACCACCATGCCACTGGCTGGCCCGAAGGATTCTTCTCAAACTGATATGTTATCCTTTTTAGTCCTTCAGACTAGACCTTATTCAGACATGCTATCAAAAGTTAGTAGAACTTTATTTTGGTGGAAAAAAAAAATTCATGCATTACATTTTCATAATATAAATTTTTCACAAGCTTTTGAAGACTCCTTATACATAATGATGTCCAGGTTATGCATAGATCTTTCTGGTATTTTAGAAGTACAGGAGAAAATCAACCACACACATGGAAGCATTCTAAATGATAATCTGGAAGCTAAAGTAAGGACACTTCTTGGAGGAAAAAGAAGTCGATAGGCAACTTGGTATGGAAATTAGGAAGGAAAGTCCTGAGAAAACCTCACTGATTTGACATGATTGTCACTGTGTCACCAAGGAGGCTTCCATTAGAATAGTGCCAGGCGTATTAGATTGTATTGGATTACTAGAAGGGGGGAAACCTCTCTTCTGAGAAGATAAGGGATTGGGGATGGAGGTGGTAAAGGGTAACTTGCGAATGTCCAAATGTTTTATTTGCCACATGAAAGAATCCCAATATCTTTAAGGACACCAAGAACTTCAAGTTCCTGGCCTTTCAAAATAATAGAGTTTGTCTTACTAGACTGACCCTCTCAAGACTTTAGTTCTATACTCTACACTAGATTTTCTTCTTTGAAATAGTAATTATTAAATATGACCTACTTGTCTATCAGTCTTCTACTACTTTCTCCCACACTCTAAAACATGTGGTGAACCCCCTCTTATAATACTATTAAACACAAAATTTATCGGGACAACATTGCCATCAAACCTTCTAAGAATCCCATTGTGTCTCTAAATGCCATGTCATTTGTCTGGGTTCTTGCTAAATTCAAATAACAGCTCCAGATAACTCAGACTACCCAAGAAAGTCTTAGAGGTATCTGTCACAATATGGACAATCTGATAGTCTCCACTTAACTTTGTGTTACCAAGTAAGTCCAATATTTCACAGATTCTTGGAGGTTATTATACTGGTTTCTGAGACCACCATGCATAAAAAGTCAAGAAAATATTCCCAGAAGTGATTTATCTTCTGAAATAGAAAAGTTTCTAAAGAATATGAATCAGCTGAGTAATGACTTTTGGTGATAAGGAAAGCAAAAATGCCATTAATAAAGTTAGACACATAGACAGAACCATAGTCTAGAGTATGATGCCCTGATAATATCCCAAAGGTCAAACCCAAAACTTCAGTCCAGAAACAGTCAAAGCCTTGTTGAACCCAGTGTCCCTTTAATATCCTCTCCAAGGTCCAACAAAATCTAGCTTAAAAATAATTCAGTCCAAAACAGTCCTTGATTCAGTTGAGGGCAATCCAAAACCCATCCCAAAGCCTTGTTAACAGCCATCCCAATGCAGAGATAAAACCCATCCAACTTGGGCTCCAACCAAACTCTGACCAATCCAGAGACCTTAAAAACTAAGCCATTTCGTATATCAGTCAGTGTCATCTCAGAGACCAATTTTG